TTTCGACATCTGAACCTCCAAAAGTGGCCCAAACCCCTGGTGTTTTTAACATTTTGACTTGCAAATGTGCTTCGCGCCACAACGGCGTGCACTTTTTCGACATCTCAACTGCCAAAAGTGGTCCGAACCTGGTGTGTTTTGTACATTTTGACTTCGAAATGTGCTTCGCCCCACAACGGCGTGCACTTTTTCGACATCTCAACTTCCAAAAGTGGTCCGAGAATCGTGTGTTTTGCACATTTTGACTTGGAAATGTGCTTCGCACCACAACGGCGTGCACTTTTTCGACATCTCAAGCCACAAAAGTGGCCCGCACCCCTAGTGCTTTTAACATTTGACTTGGAAATGTGCTTCGCGCCACTACGGCGTGCAATTTTTCATCTCTCCTCTGGCCAGCTGGCTCCGCACCCGCGGCTTTAGCGAGCCTACTTTTCGACCCTCCGGAGCCACAAATCATTGGAAAACCACAGTGAATCGCGACTTTCCTACCTTTTCGCGCATCTCCATCTTCTTTCTTCTTACTATTTCTCTTCTATTCTTCTCTCTTCTGATCTTTCTCTTCTCTCTGCCTCTGCCCTACTCTGCTTTTCATCTGTCCATATTGTCGGAAGTTTGACTTCTAAACTTCCTTCGACAATACCCTTTCCCCAAAAAAGAAACGGCCCCTCATGGGGGAGTGATTTTTGCTTTAAAAATGGTCAAAAATACTGGTATTTACAGTGTTTTGTGACCAAAGTGGGCTTAAAACCGCTATTTTAGAGCAAAAAATAGAGTTCACCTCCAAAGGCTCTCATATGCTGTCATAAATCACTGGCATTTACAGACTCTTGTGGCAGGATTCAATTTTTCCTGTGAGGTTTGCACATAACAGAAAACATCTGCTGCACAACATGCCATAAGAATGGGTAGCTGCACATCTTGGAACAGAATATACAGTAGCAATAGGTGACTAGTGTGATGGAGGTGATGGAGAAATTCTATTGCTAAAAGCAATTGATATGATATAGGTGTTTCTTCATGAACTTGTTAGATTGATATCATCTTGACATATATTGTATATAGAAGCATTTGCGCTACATAAGAAGTATGGTGGGAAGGGCATACATTATATAGGTGGATATAACACAAGCACATCTAACACTCTGGATAAGAAGGATGGTGGGAATGTTACAACCCAAGAAGTAGGTACATATCTCGTTTATCATTGTTATCTTGCAGAGTCTTGTCAGCAGTCTCATTTCAATAGTTAGAGAGAGAGAGAGAGAGAAAGCCAAAGAGACAAAGACGTGTGTCAAGCTGTTGAATATTAAGGTCAGGCAACCTGTGTGGTGGCATAACTATTCAAAGATAACGGTATGTTTGCTTCTTTTTGAAACATAAGTTTAAAATATGGCCAAGATCCAAACATACACAATCTAGAATCACCAAAACCTGCACAGGCATCAAAAAAACAAACAAACCACTAGATGTACCAAACCTGCACAGGCACCAAAAAAAACAAAAAAACCAAACCACTAGATGCACCAAACCTGCACAGGCACCAAAAAAAACAAAAAAACTAAAGTTTCCAGGAACTATGGGTCCACTTCTGAGTAGTTGCTGGAATTTTTGTTTTTTTTGTTTTTTTTGGTGCCTGCCGATGTTTGGTGCATCTAGTGGTTTGTTTTTTTTGTTTTTTTGGTGCTTGTCAATGTTTTGTGAAGTCAGAGTCACCAAACCTGCACAGGCACCAAAAAAACCAAACCACTAGATGCACCAAACCTGCACAGGCACCAAAAAAACCAAAAAAAACAAACCACTAGATGCACCAAACCTGCACAGGCACCAAAAAAATCAAAAAAAACTAAAATTTCCAGGAACTATGGGTCCACTTCTGAGTAGTTGCTGGAATTTTTGTTTTTTTTTGTTTTTTTTGGTGCCTGTCGATGTTTGGTGCATCTAGTGGTTTGGTGTTTTTTGTTTTTTTTGGTGCCTGTCAATGTTTTGTGAAGTCAGAGTCACCAAACCTGCACAGGCACCAAAAAAAACAAAAAAACTAAAATTTCCAGGAACTATGGGTCCACTTCTGAGTAGTTGCTGGAATTTTTGTTTTTTTTGTTTTTTTTGGTGCCTGTCGATGTTTGGTGCATCTAGTGGTTTGGACTTTTTGGTTTTTTTGGTGCCTGTCAATGTTTTGTGAAGTCAGAGTCACCAAACCTGCACAGGCACCAAAAAAAACAAAAAAAACAAACCCCTAGATGCACCAAACCTGCACAGGCACCAAAAAAACCAAAAAAACTAATTTTCCAGGAACTATGGGTCCACTTCTGAGTAGTTGCTGGAATTTTTGTTTTTTTTGTTTTTTTTGGTGCCTGTCGATGTTTGGTGCATCTAGTGGTTTGGTTTTTTGTTTTTTTTTGGTGCCTGTCAATATTTTTGTATATCTCATGTCAAGATCATGATGAAAAAAGTGTGTTTTACTAGGGTTTTAGACCCTCCAAATGCATAAAACATCGGTATTTACAGTGTTTTTTCATCATTTTTAATGAAAATTCACTCCCCCACGGGGTGCCGCCCTCAAAAGAAAAGGGCTGCCTAATTTTTGATCCTGGTCCCTCTTGTTGCCACATTGACTGGCACTTTTAAAAAAAATAAAGCATTTAGGAAGTCATGATCATATCATACATATAATTTACGTATGCCATAGACATCATAAGGATATCGTACCATAGATATAACATAACATATCATACATATCATACCATAGATATCATAAGGATTTCTGGATGATTCCTGGATTATCAGCTTATCCCATGGCCCCATGGCCCCATGGTGGAGACCACCATGCCGAAGCCGCAGGGTTCGCTCCGACGGGCTCATCTCGAATCGGATCCGAGGGACGTCGCAGGCGAAGAACATGAAGCCTGGTTAGGAAGTCTCCCATTCTCGGGGTATTGATGATTGATGGACATTAATCATTATTTTCATCTCATTTTTTGAGTCTCAAAAAAAAACCGTTACGAATTAGTTGCTAAGTAGGATCCTGAAAAGTAGCCTGTTGTTGTACAAGCACATAGGTGGTGTCGGATTCACCCCATGCATAAACTTCAGTACCAAAGATGGTTGGAATCCCAGCCAGTTTTAGATGATCATATTGATGATTGTTTATTATTGTGTATATATATATATACCACATTAACAGGATGTTTGACGATTTGGGTGGAACCACCCGAAAGTATCATACTATTTACTTTTTCACCAACCTCCACGTTATCAAACTAGAACCCGCGGCATTGGAGGTTGTGCAAAACATTTTGAGACCAGAGATAGGTAGGGTTTTATGTAGGCAAGGTACTTGTCGATGTTTGGGGAATCACATGGAATCACAATCCAAGGCCTTAATATCGTCTTAGGACGCGCTGGTTTCCTTCACATGTGGGTGATTTTGACCAGTCAACTAGCAGCAACAAAGAATTTGTGATGACATCATTGAACTTGTTGGAACAGATACTATTTTGTGTATTCCTTTGTTTCTCACTGGTGGGGATGGGTGGGGACATTCAATCTCTACAGTTGTTGTCCCAATGTGTGGTGATGTGGAGTGCCCACTGATTTTTAGTCCAATTGTGTTACCGGGCAGGACTGTCTGATCACAGGGCTCTATATGAGCGCCCATAATATATATATATATTTATATATATATATATTATCATATATATATATACACTGTTTATTTTATATTGTTATTTATGATATTTTTATATGTAGTATATGATATGTTATTTCAGATATATATTGTGTATTACACATGTTATTCATATTTAATTGTTTATACACTAAATTGTGCGGTATTGTAAATTATACAGTGCATTTTGGATATTAAATGTTAATATAATTTATACATGATATACTGTACATCATATTATATATATACACCATATATTATGTACGTAGTATATTTATTTATATATATATATATATTAATTATTTATATATATATATCACATATTATATCATATATTATTCATAATCTATTTCAGTTATTATCATATATATATATATTACTGTATATATTATTTTTCAGTTATTATCATGTATATATATATATATATATTACTTTATATATTATATAGTGTATAGTCTATAGTATGTATATAGTTTTTCCTGTGTTCTATGTTCATATAATAGTTTAAATATGTTTCATCGTATAGTATTTGCTTCATATCATATATACTATATAGTGTATATATATATATGTAATATAATATATATATTTATACATATATCATATGTTATTTGTCATAATATATATACATATATATATATTAAGTTAAATTGTATATAGTTTATACTTTAGATGATATATATTGTTTATTATGTGTATATATATAATAAAATAAATTATTCAGTATATAGTTATATGTGTTTTTTACAGTATACCAGTATATAATTATGTATCTTATATCGTCGGGCGATTCAAGTCTTTCATCGAGTCCAAGACACTGTGAACAGACCGAAAGGCGACCCTTCATGTTTCAACATGACTCAAAGATGTTCACAGCTTGTCGCTGAATGGCTTCGGAAGTATCAATTAGTCTCTAGGTTTGCCGACGGGCCTGAACAATAGTTATTCATTCAGTACATTCAATTACAATTGCAGGCCCCTGTGTACACACCAACATGAAAATTGAAGCTTGGAAAGTGTATACCGCGTTGCATACCACGAGACCTTGTGAGTGTATGGGCAAATGGTTGTTTCACGCGTGTTCTATTTTGGGTCTGGTATCCGGCGCTGTTGTTGCTGTCACTTCATGATCAATACGATTTGGGAAATGAACTCAAAAAACAGCAAGAGCATGAAAGATCATCAACGAATAAGTGTGATGACCAAGACAAGACAACATAGGAATATCAACACCACGCAACGGAATTTGAACATCACGACACCACATAAAATCATGATTTTCTTGGAATATGGCCAACAAACATTGAACAATTTTACCAGCATTGGCACAAACTTCGGGGTGTTGAAGCTGGCGCAATGCTTCAACAACTTCGAGAGAAAGTGCGCAGCCGATTCCAGGCCCCAATCCTTGAATGTTTGGTGGATAATTTCCGATTTAGCTTGATGATTAGGATTTTGCTATTAATTAATAAGATCCCATTAAAACTCGTATTTTCCATTGCCATGTTTACTATTATATAGGATCAATGACTTCGCTTGTCGTTGGCGCATGGCTTGCCCCCGTTTTTCAACAGGTGGCTGAGGTCTAAATGGCTGTTTGCTGGGATGGTTTCAGGGCTTGTCACATATTTATTCATAGCTCCATGGTGATTTGGTACAGGATTTGAGGATGGATCAAAACCTATTGTAACAATTTGTAACATATATCATCATAACAGTCACAACATATTAGGGAGGGATGAACTTCCAAAGCCATTCTAGGCTTCACCGATGTTCACCGATGTTCACCGATGTTCACCGATGTTCACCGATGTTCACCGATGTTCACCGATGTTCACCGATGTTCACCGATGTTCACCGATGTTCGGTGCGAGGGGAGCCCCCTTGAAAACTGTTGGAGCTCCCCTGGAGCAGGTTTTCCAATGGATGAGCTAAATCTCTCCGTTTGTGTCCTCGATGCCGGCAGCATGGCAGAGGACGAAATTGGGTTGTTACTGTTGTTACCCGGCCTGGGTCCCTTTGGTAATCAAACATGGCTGGACAATCCATGAATATATCCACCATGTATCCATTGATTTCGATGATTTTCCCCATTAAAAACGTTCATTTTTTGTATCATTTCGTAGGGGATGTTCGATTGTGATGCTTGATTCCTGCAGCTAAACATGCAATCATCGGCACGTTCTGTATGAATGGAGGAGCCATCCTGGAAGGGTCCCTGAATTTTTTCTGTGCCTATGCAGCCCCAAAATCAAATTAGTTCGATGGTTTTTAAATGTTTTTGATCTACTAACCAGATCTAACCAGTGCCAATGTTGTGCTTGTGGGTCCATTGATCTCATTTTTGTGAGGAGAACTTAGATCACTTCGAGCTGGTGTCTCGCATCCGAGCAGCGGTGCTGAGATTGCAACAAGATGGCTTGAAGGCGGATAGAAGCAAACATCATGGGATGATATGGGATATTTATTTGGATGTAGCGCAATATCATGGAATATGATATGTTGTCGTATGTTGTGATATGTTGTGACATTGAAATGAGCACAACTCCGAAACGGGAATTGAGATTGTCCACATTGAATTTCGATGAATTCATGTTTGATTTTGAATTCAGCTTGACTTTGAATTGACCTTTACTTGATTGCGAATTGTGAATTGAAAGTTGATGTGAGCTGAACTTGAGTTGGAACTGTGCTTTAAACACGCTTTTGAAATCAACTTGATATGTCTCTGACTTGATTTTGGCGGATCTTTTATTGCGGTTGATCTGAAATCCACATTTCGAATTTCTTCAACCATCTTGAACAAACTGAATTTAAATGTCTGAGTTGACCTTGGCTTGACATTGACATTGTTCAAAACGAAATTATGTCGAAGCTGCATTCGCAAACCAACTGGCAATCTGTTTGCTATCATCATTTCTTTTGGATTTTGATGTGGGGCCAGCAAACTTAATTGTAATTTTGTTGAGGCTTTGGCACTTGAATATGAACTGATCCTGCTCCTCGGGCAGGTCATTGTCGTTGATCCGAAGGACGAGCACTGGGAAAGGCTGCGGCAACGGGACGACTGGCCTGCTCAGCCTGCCATCGACTTTTCCAGATGCACATTCATTTCGGCTTACAATGATCCTTTGCGTGGAACTTCTTTTGCCATCGAATCAGGGGGCATGAACACAGTACTCTATGGGCCTATGGGTTTGTGTTTGTTCTTCGTTTCCAAAGATGTGGAATAAGCACGTCATGACTCATGTGTATATATATAATATTATTATATATATATGTATAATATTATATATATATATAATATTATTATATATATAATATTATTATTATATATATATAATATTATATATATATATATCTAAGTATCTAATATCTAATATATATATATATTATATGTCCAACGTATATAGAATTGTATATAAAATGATTACATATGGGTACATATATGGCTTATGTATGGGTCACATACGGGTTGAATGGGCCGGGTGATATACCAGCGATGGGATTTCGCAATCAAACATAGGTTTTTTGATGGCATTTAACCGTAACCTGGATGGGGATTTAGCCAATGAATAGTGGATATGGCGGATATGGATATGGGTGTGTCTGAAAATAGGTTTTAGCCCCAAAGTATGGCAATTCTGTATGACAGATGGTGATGGCCACAGGTTTTTGGGGAACCATATTTTCAGGCAAACCCATCTCAAATAAGAAAGTTACTCGTGTCATGCAAAGATTGAACTTGTTTTTGTTCAAATTGCATCTATTTGTACATACGTAGTAATAGTATTTTTCACGATGCTCGACATGATACTCTAAACAGATTAGTTGATGATACTCTACTCATTAGATGATACTCTATAGTACCATACTATGATGATACTCTACTCAATTCTACTCATACTCATTGTATTTTTGTCATTGTTTGTCATTCCTACAGTACGGAAGATGATCCCCAGTTGAATGCCCTGAGGCTGCCAGCTCTATGTTTCGACCCAAATTCTGCATCACAAATGATATAGTATGATTCACATGATGCACAGTATGATATAGTCGCTAGCAGGTGAACTGTTTGGTTTTCCAGTTTGAGATAGTTGTTGTTCATTTTGCCTAGAAGCAGGACTTAGGATTAACAAAAATCTCAGAAGCTTCGTGGGCGAAAGCGGCGAAACTGTTGGGATTAGACTGGAACCTGCGGTTGGTACTTCAGAATATCCGACTGCACATCCAAGTGGACACCAGATTCACAAACGTTTTTGCTGGAAAAACAACATGTGTTGATTTCCTCTAATTTTTCCCTAAAGAGGTCAGACTAGACCGGCTTCAGTGTAGAGTTTTGGGAAGCCGATCATCTGGGAGATGAACATCCAGAAGCATCAGCTATTTTGCTGAGCAGGTACACCGGTCTTTGTGGGTAATATCAGGTTTTTCTCAGTTGAGCCCCGTTTGTTTTTTTTCCAAATGCCTTGCTTGTTTCTTCAAAAGTGGGGATCTCCCAAAAAAGAATCATACCATGTATCAACATGTTTTTGGGGATTATTCACATCCGCACAAATCCGACCATGTTGGTGTTCCAACTATTCACCAAGTTGTCTTCTGTCCATGTCCATTCGAGGAACCTACTATTGTGGATGCTCTGGAGGCAGTTGAATTTAATGATTTTTCGTTTTACGCGACCTCCTTTGACGTTGAGAGTTTGATCGCAGATTGGCGGCTGCCGCACTCCACACAAGACTGGCTGCAACGCTATCGGAAAAGGCTCGAGGTAATATTTCACTTTGACACTTGGCAATATATTATTCTGATTGGGGAATGGTAATCGATCTATTAGTAGGAATCTATAATTCATTATAAGGATTCCCATTGTGGGATGGATTACCATAAACGCCTTGGGGATGCAATAAATACCGTATCAATACTTATATAATCTTATATACTGTATTGTACCATATTTGGGAGGATAAAGCCTCATTTGCCAGCTAGCTTGTTGTTCACAAAGGGGTACAGTCTGTATGTATATATATATATATATTTATTTACATATACACAGGATGTTTGAATGTTGTTTTTTCACAGCCAATCTTCACCCATCATTTCTGGGATGATCTCAGAAACTCTGACATTTGTAAATTGTTAGTACATACATGCAATTATTTGTCTACAAACTGGTCATGTTATCATATATTATCATGTATTATCATATTATACTTCAGGAGGAACAAAGTTTATGCTTCTTGAAAGCTTTACAAAACATCCATTTCGGTCAACCGCGGATCACATTTTCAAGTCCGTTTTGTGTGGCAGGTGTGGGACGGTCAATTATCACCCTCTTTTAAATATATAAGATTTTAAAGCTTTTGGAGGGTGGGAATGCGACCGGGGTACGACAAAGCTCCATGCTAGGATTCTACGGGGAAAGGGTGTGCAGAAGAAGAAACCAACCATGTTCACTGTGGGAAGCTCAACAAGCGCAACTTTTGTCCTACCAGTGCGTCACGGCACATGTGTAGCAGTGCAGACAAAGAGGATGGAGACAGGCATGTTATGTGGAGTAATGACCAAGCTGAAGCAGGTGCAAAAATCAGCAAATGACTTGGCAATCCCCACTCAATAAGCTTTTTGTACCCTGCGTCACGGCACATGTGTAGCAGTGCAGACAAAGAGGATGGAGACAGGCATGTTATGTGGAGTAATGACCAAGCTGAAGCAGGTGCAAAAATCAGCAAATGACTTGGCAATCCCCACTCAATAAGCTTTTTGTACCCTTCAGGAGGAACAAAGTTTATGCTTCTTGAAAGCTTTACAAAACATCCATTTCGGTCAACCGCGGATCACATTTTCAAGTCCGTTTTGTGTGGCAGGTGTGGGACGATCAATTATCACCCTCTCTTTTAAATATATAAGATTTTAAAGCTTTTGGAGGGTGGGAATCATAACATGCCTGTCTCCATCCTCTTTGTCTGCGCTGCTACACATGTGCCGTGACGCAGGGTACAAAAAGCTTATTGAGTGGGGATTGCCAAGTCATTTGCTGATTTTTGCACCTGCTTCAGCTTGGTCATTACTCCACATAACATGCCTGTCTCCATCCTCTTTGTCTGCACTGCTAAACATGTGCCGTGACGCACTGGTAGGACAAAAGTTGCGCTTGTTGAGCTTCCCACAGTGAACATGGTTGGTTTCTTCTTCTGCACACCCTTTCCCCGTAGAATCCTAGCATGGAGCTTTGTCGTACCCCGGTCGCATTCCCACCCTCCAAAAGCTTTAAAATCTTATATATTTAAAAGAGGGTGATAATTGACCGTCCCACACCTGCCACGCAAAACGGACTTGAAAATGTGATCCGCGGGTGACCGAAATGGATGTTTTGTAAAGCTTTCAAGAAGCATAAACTTTGTTCCTCCTGAAGGGTACAAAAAGCTTATTGAGTGGGGATTGCCAAGTCATTTGCTGA